AAAATACACATAAAACTTTTGATTCAGAAACACTATGTGTTAGCCAATATTTAATGGCTATAAAATAGGGCATTTGACAACACACGATATAAATAATAAAAAAGATTAGATATAATGAACTTTAAAAATGGGCTTAAAAAGATTGCTGTTTGAAAGGGTAAAATTAAAGAAATAGCTTAATGTACCCATAAGTAAATCCTCTTACTATGCCTCAAGTAAATTAGAAGGGCAGGCAATGAAAGGTGGAAAAAGCCGGTCAGCTACTGCACAATTCTTTTTTACAGGAAGATCTTTTTTCCCCAATTTGGAACTCAGAAAATCATTTTAGTAAGTATGCTTCAGTAACATATTGTGTAACTCTATAAGTCCCCTTTCATTTTATTTCAGTAATTACGCCAAAGATAGATTCATATAAAATGCATGCTCGAGTTAGAAATAGTAGAGATAGGAAATAGAATGGTAGATATAGTCCTTGTGTAAACTGCTTCATCTCTGTCATCAAACACAATACTGTGTATTAACATACGTGTGAGACTAGAGAAAACTTACTTGTGTGCTAGAGTAGTGAAGATATGAAGATTGCCATTGAGTGTGAACAAAACATTAAACGTTTAAGGTAGCATGGAGAGTAGACTATGTGAATTGCTGTAAGATATAGCAGCATTATACACATTATTTTCATCCTAATATTTCTCTCCTAGTAGGTACTTTGGGGCATTTGTTTATACAATTAAAGTGCTAAATAGATTACTCCAAATGTCTTTTTATTTAACTAATTTTCTGTGACTTTGTTGCCAAATGGGAAAGTAACATGGGAATAAAAACTAAATTGTTGTAAGTCTCCATTTATAAGGTTTCAAAGTGTGTGGATTCTTTTAAATTGCTAAAAACCATAGTGGCTTATTTTGTTGGGAAAAATCATTGCACTTTAGAAAATACTGAGATCAGATGAAAAGTGTGAACAGATTAAAATGTTTTTTCTAAAATATCAATCTAGACTAAAATATTCAGTTCCGTGCATCTATACATATTTATCATTTTGAAATGGAAGACTTAAAAATGCCATTATAAATGAGGTTTAAAAATGTTTTATTGTTGCAAGCCAATTATTAGTGCTAAATTCAATGAAACCTAACTCCAGGCGAACCTTCCATTTATTATAGATAACATATGAATTAGTTGTTGATTAGTCAAGTGTGTGTTTGGTATATTGAACTTAGATTCAGAAATGGTTTGGAGATTAACAAGTGGCAAAACACAAATTTAAAAGATAAATGTTTTAGATGAAACACTACAAAAATGTAATATAGATATTTTAAGAGAGAGATAAAAATCAATAAAATGATTTATTTAAAAATCTGTGTATCCATTTCTTGCATAATGTTAGATTCTTTCAGTGCCAGCTCATAATTATGGAGTGACATAAAATATTATAATAGATAGCATATGTAAAAATGTGACATTCCTCTTTTAGTCAATTTTGAGATGAAAGTCACCATAGTGCGTGTTGATTTAGATTAAATAGAAATTTTGCTACTTTATTGAAAACTATCTCTGAGTAGATTTTCAGAGAGAATATAGTTATAAGAAACATCTGTGCTTAACATAAACTCTAAGTGTTTGTTTGCAGGAAATAAGTAAATCTTTATCATTTTATTTTACTTGAGAGGATGCAATTTCATCTCCTGGTATAAGTGTCATTCAAATAGAATTTTGTTTGAATCTAAATTATAGACAGACTACTTTTCCTCAGGTATGTATGAAAGAAATTTGTAGAAAATATTTTACCTGGTGAAAGAATATCTTTTTAACTCTGGAATATAGCATATATTTCCTGGAATGGAAAGATTATTAGATAATTTAGTATATATAGATGCCATATTGGTTTCAACTGTGGAACCTTTTCCTTTCAACCAAAGTAATATATACATATTTGCTTTTATCCTAAGACTAAAGAGTTGACAAAATGCACAAGGCAGAACAAAATAAATTATTTGTTACCCTTAGAAGTTATCTGGAGCTCTTTTTAAAGTAAGGAAGCATATAAATACACAAGCAAATAAGTTTGGGTAAATAAGATGGTCAAAATGCAGTCAATGATATCTTTATTTTAAAAGATAACCATTGTGCCCAGCATAGCATTAAACTGATCATGATTTCTTAAGTCTAGAACTAATGATCCATTCCTAGTTCATTTGCATATATAAATAACAATTCATAAATGGTAATAAGTAGAAAGTCAGAGGCAGTAGGACACTGGTAATGTGCTTTCTCACAGCAGAGCAGTGCGTCTTCACGCTGCATTGCGGAAGAAGCTTCATGAAACGTGTTAAAGCCATCACATTTCATCCATCTCTCTCAACAAATCCCATGTTCAAAAGTGTCTTGGCATGTCTTTATAAACCTCCGGGACTAAAGTAATGATATCATATATGAGAATAGCAACTTCTAGCCCAAATGCTTTCATATCATGCATCCACCCGCACATTCACAGCACTGAGTGTACATCCATGGCATGGTGCAGTGGGCAGTTGGCAAACAGCAGGCGGGACAGTGTGGGGTGGGGAAATTTGAATACAAGAGCAAACTTTTGTTCTTTTACAATTCACACAGGATTTCCTGAAACCTTAATAGAGGAAAAAGTAAAGCATAAAAGATTGTATACAGTGCTAAGCCAATACAGAAGCAAGTTAAAACTCCTAGGAATAATATTTGCGCTAGTGTAGGGTCCAGTGTTGTGACAGACGTTCCATAATGAGACCATTTTACTTACTTTGCCTGTTCTTCCAAATTAGAGCACTGAAGAAACTTTGTGTAAACTAGAACTCATGAAAAGAAAGGGCATAGGATCAGTATTTAAATTAATTTTGATGTTTATTTAAAGATTTAGATTGCTTAGGCTGTTTATAAGTAAAATACATAGTTTTAAAAAATAAAAAATTTGGTAAATCCACAGCATTGTTAGTTTGAGGGAAATAGTTTTCAAAAAGTCAAAATAGACATCCTCAAATTTGCTCAAGGCTTACGATATTTAGAAAATAAATGAGATGCATATACTTTCTAGTGGATATGTTTGCATTATAATATTGCTTTTTTAATAAAAATAAGAATTCATTGACTGTCCATGAGGTAAACCTGATTTTTCTTCCAAGTACTTCTAAAGCAATATTTAATTGAATATATATCTTTCACTCTATTCTATAGTTTATATAAACACAAACTGTTTAGTCATTGGAGATATAATTATCTTGTGTCTTCCAAAGAGAGATCATATGTGTGTGTATATATATATATATATATATATATATATATATCTAGTCTAATATAAATGTATATCTGAATCTATATTGTAAACAGTACATCTGATCATGCAAATTCCATGCAATTACAAATTTACAGTTAACGTAATCAAATAAAAGCAAACAGATTATATGAAATCATTTTTCAGGAATGAAAAACAAATAAAGAAGAAGGATGTTATGAAATAACATGGAATTTAGTAGCAAATAAGAATAGATGAGTGATCAAATATTAGAAGAGAACTTAGCAATTTAAGAGTGAGTCTAGATAATCTGTTATGAAGTTGAGAAAACTACAATGTATATTTAATATCATGTTTTTACAAGAAACCAGGGTGTACATAGCATCATCTGGGAAGCTTCTTTTAAATATACTTTACCCTAGCAATTTTAGTATAGTCACTGGACTATTTGTGTATGATTTTTCAGGATAAATTCTTGGCTTTGGTAGATATATCCTTAATCGTTGCTTATTATGTAATGGGTCCCCAAGTCAAACCACCAATGGACTGACACTATCTACTCTAGGTTACTTTTAAAAATATTTAGTTATTATATGAGGGAGGATCCCCAAAAAACTGGAATTATTTTTTGGAGAGCAGGCTCCTTGTAGTACAGGCATCCCCCGTTAGGCAAGAGTTCTAGGAACCCGTCAACATCAGTGTACCAGCTAGTGTTGTTGTGAGATGCTGTGTTCAGCTTCAGTGAATTATATTTGGGAGATTCTTTCAGTGCATTTGTCTATTTGCAAGCCCATTTTTCCCACGCCGTGCTGAGTGTTCAGCAGTTTTTAACCCAAATGGCAAGACCCCGGTGCCCCACCTTCCCTTTTCACTGGATCTCACCCCAAGTGACTGTTTTTTGTTGTCCTGTATAAAAAAAGTCCTCAAAGGGAAATGTTTTGCCAATGTGGAACAAGTGAAACAGGAAATGGCAGAAGCACTAAAAGGAATCCAAATTAACAAGTTCAAAAACTGTTTTGAGCAATGGAAAAAGCATCTCAATAGTTGTATTGCATTAAACAGAGAATACTTTGAAAGTGACTGAAGTTTAAACATGTAAGAGAAAACGCACACATTTTTATAAATAAATTCCATTTTTTTTGGTCCCCCCTCATACTTGGACATGTGTCCTTGTGCATGACTTTTTTGTTTGTTTTAAAAAAAATTCCAAGGGCTATGGCTCTCAAAACCAAATGTCTCATTTGCTATAAATGATCTCAACACATTTTAGCATTAAGAGTGGATTTGAAAGATACATAGACTGCACAAAGCATTTTTTTTTTGCCTTATTTTAGGATCTTATTCAGCAGCCCTTAGAATATGTTTGTATAAATAAGTTTCCCACTTAGTTGGAAACTGATTTTGTCCAAGTGTATGATTGTTTCTTCAATGGAGCCTATTACAAGATACATATTATAGTGCTCTTTAATGTATATTTAACAACCACTTTGACCAATTGCTCTGTTAATAAAATGAAGGGTAATATTTAAATATCCCTTAACTGAATGAGGAAAGACAAAAGTGAAACTCTTAGAAAAAGAGGGCCCTCTTTTGCTGAAGGGAGATGATGGTTTGCTTGGCCCTAAATATGGAAAAGGCTGGGTTTCCCCACCAAACACTGCCTGGGTGTGCAGAATATGCTGTCTGCTTTCTACTGATGACCACATTCCTCTATTTAGAGTTAAGAAAGTCAATTTACCATGTCTGAGAAACGGTAAAACTTCTCCAATGCAAAAGCTTCTGTCTGTGGGAAGGTAAAGTGGACCGAGAGGGATTGAGAAACCAGAGAATCGAGTCATATATGATTAAATATAATCACACAGTTGGTTTTAATCACACATACCATTTGAACACACATATGTATCAATTAATAGATATTCACATGTGCAAGGTATCTACCCCAAACTTCGAAATGAACTTAAAAAAAAAAAAAACTGGCTCCCTTTTCTGCATTAAACCTTAATGACATGTTCTTACATTTACTCCCTGAATATATCAAGCAGTTACTAGAAAAAACAAGACATATTTTTTCATTTTCACTTTTTTTTCCAGAGTGCTAGTCACTAGGAAAATTAATCTTTCCATCTTTCTATGAGCTAATGAGGAAGGGGCATCATTATTTTTTATCTCACTTTCATATGTGGTAAAACAGAGTAAAGAGACACTTTGTTAGCAATAATGCTTTTTTTTTAAAAGGAGGACCCAGAATTGAGTGTTTCAACTTATAGTCTATATTTTTCCACTGAGTACTGTGTCCATTGGATATGTGGTGGTTGTAGAATACATCCAAGCTCTCAGACTTTCCGTATCTGGACATCGTGTGCACAGTACTTCTCATTTCCAGTATTTGCAGTACATGGCTGATGCTTTAGAAATTGGATAAGGAGGAGGAAGACGGTAAAGAAATGGAAAAGAAAAAAGGAAAAAGCAAACAATAATGAGTGCTGCTTTACTTCTGATTAGCGATAGTACAAGGGAAAATTGTCTTTGTCGCTAAGAAGAAAGAAAGACAAGAGCTTTGCCCCCGAGGTACAGCATTTGCCTGTTATGGTGTTTCAATCAGTGCCAGGTATCATGAGAGAAAAGAGGAGGGAGTAGGTAGTAGAGAGAGAGAGAGAGAGAAGGGGAGAAAAGAGAGAGAAAGGAAGAAGGAAGAAGAGTGAGGAAATGTAAATAGAACGGTAGACCAGTGAGTGAGGTGAAGGAAGAAGCTGAGGAAAAGTTAATCTCCCCATCACAATGAATTTCAATGGATAAATAATATACTTTTGTTTTAGTAAAAATGTAATCAAATACAAGCTCTAGCACTGCTTTCTCTTCATATATTACTCATCTCCTGTTACTGATGTTCCTTCCATGCAACAGTTAATAGGGTGTTTATTGGAGTGGTGATGATTTTGGAGGGCCATTTAGAGATGACTGAATACTCTATTGCTTTAGGGTATGTTTAATGCTAAGGAGACTCAAGCACTAAGAGATAAAAGTTTAGTGCTTTTTAAAAAAAATTAATAAATATATAAATTGCAGTCAATCATTCAGAAACCATAGGAATCCTTAAAAAAAGTTAGAACCTTTAAAAATCCTTACAAATGCACACTAGATGAACCAGACTATTATCAAAAAGCATTATGCTTTGACTTAAACATTCAATATATTAGATCCTGGCCACAATTATACATAACTTTGACATTTCTTTCTATTGCTCCAAAAGTTAATTTGCTTTTGAAATGTCAGTTGGCACATTCACATTAGACGTATACTCATAGATTTGTTGTAATGGAAACGTTCCTTTCCAGAAAAGGAAAGGGGTTTGGTTAAAACCAGGTGCACCTAAAGGGAGGTAATGCCATCACAGGTCTGAGTAGAGAAAACAACCTCATTTGGTTATCCAAATCCAAGTAGGAGCTTACTCCTGCAACATCCTATGATCTCCTAATCATATGCAAAATACAGTTTTCTCCTTGTTTCATCTTTTATCAGATGATAGCAAGGCAATAATAGTGCTTTATTAACTTTCCCACAGGATTTCAGAAAAAATGTCTTAAGAACATGAAAATATTCATCAAAAAAGTACCACATAGTTTGCACGAATATATCATCATGGTATTAATAAATAAGTAATATTTGGTGGAAATCAAAGGAATTAGCTTAGAAAAAGGAATAACTTTAATAATTACATTTGATGACTTACATCAAGTAAAACCATTAGAATCACTCTAACATTGCAAGTAATAAACTACATTTCATCAACTGAGACAAAAAAAGATGTTGTTCCAGGAAGTACATTAGAAAGAAGTTGATAAGTCTCATGTCACCAGAAATGCTGTTTAAAGTATAACTAGGTATCATCATTTTCTCCCTGTAGTTATTTTTAACACTTCAAGTTTCAACTAGACAAAAAAAAAAAGGAATATCATACCATTTCATCCTTAGTTCCAATTTCTTCTCTTATCACCTCTATTCATCACAACAAATTCACTTTCCAGTGAAAATTGGATACCACCAAACCCAATGCATTTCATCACTTACCTTATTCTTTCTCTTTCGTCGAAATCTCAGAAGTTCTTTATGTTGTCTTGATACAAAATTTACAGCCGCATACTCCAGAAGCGCTGAAAATACAAAGAGGAGGCACACCGCCATCCAAATGTCAATAGCTTTGACATAGGACACCTGGCCGGGAGAGAGAGAAAGGGAGAGAGAAGGCATGCAAATTGACTTACATTGTTACTTCCTTTGAGAACAAAATTGAATTTTTTCAATTCCGAATTATATCATTTAAATATAAGTTTGAAAAAAATAAAGGAAATGACAATTTTTTTCTTACCTAGAACTTTTTAGATAGTACTTTTTGCAAATTTTATGTATCCACTGTAGTTTGTTTATTTTTTTTTCAAATGAGGCAACAGCCCAAGGAAAGGAAAAATAAGATGCGATATCATTTTACCTTCAGAATAGTATAATGCTTGAAGAGTATGAAGGAATGTTGAAATATAGTTGGTTTCTTAGTTCCATATTTTCATTACTTTTTTTTTTACTTTGAAATTTTAAAAAAGTTTGCAATCTTATCTGTTAATTCTATTAGGGTAATTTTTTTTCAGTGCTTCTATAAATGAGCAATATGTGGTTACTTGCTACCTATTTTGATATATTTTTAACCTTAGAGACATATTGTAAGAATAATAAAAGAGCACTCTCAAGTTTCCTAGTTGTTAATATTTGACCACATTTATCATTATGTGTATGTATATACATGCACACACATATATACTTATTCATATGTTTTTCCTCCCTGAACTATTTGAGGGTAATTTGCAGACATGACACTATATACTCAACAAAATCAGAAATTTGACATGGATAGAATTTGGCCACTTACTATTAATAGCCTATTTTCATGTTACCAAGTGTTTCAATAATGTACTTTGTTATTTAAGACTGAAAAACCAAAAAACAGAAAAACAAAATAAAACAAAAAAAATCCAGGGTTTAATCCATGGTCATGGGTTCCATTTTGTTGTCATGTTTCTAGTCTTCAGGGTAGAACATTTGCTCAGTCTCTCCTTGCTTTTTGTGACATTAGTACTTTTGATGAATGCAGGCCAGTTATTGTCTAGAACATCTTTCACTTAAAGTTTGCCTGATGTTTCCTCATGTAGACTCATATTTTGAATTATCAGTAGACATTCCTCACCAGTGAGGCCCTGTTCTTCACAGTGTATCATATCAGTGTATCACACAATGTCAATCACTTGGTTAAGGTGATGTCTTCTAGCTTTCTCTATTATAAAGTGGCTAATTTTTCCATGTACGGAATGTTTTAAAACTAAGGAAATATTTATTACTCTAAAATTTTTTACATAGTAGACTTGACATTCACTGGTGATGTTTTGCCTAAATCAGTTATTACAATGATGGTTAGCAAATGGTAATTTTCTGATTTTGTCATTTGTCTACATTTATAAGTTAGCATTCTACTATAAAGAAAGTTCCTGTCTCCCACATTTATGTTTGCTTATTTATTTATATCAGTGTAGACTTATAGATAGCTATTTTACTCAAAGAGGTATAATTCTTTAAAATCATTATTTATATTTATGCTCACATTACCCAGACTGGGACAGTAGGAGTCCCTAGACATAGCTCATATATCTTTTTGACAAGTTTCCCTCATTATTTGAGCATTTCCTTAGTTTTTGGCACAAGATAGCCCAGATTCATTTTGTACTTTTTCTGTTCCAGTCTTTAAGTCAATTCTTTCTCTAAGGAACTCTTTTTTAGTGAAGAATGGCTTTTAGGAACTAAAATCTAGGTGCTGGGTGTGCTCACCTTTTCCTGAGTGACATTGTTTCTCGGTTTTCTCAGTGGATGCACATATATATATATATACACACACACATATATGTATATACACACACACACACATATATATATACATATATATATATATACACACACACAAAACATAGCATCTATTTCTATTCCTCTCTCTCTCTTTCTTTCTCTCTTTCCTTCCTTCTTTCCTTCCTTCCTTTCTTCCTTCCTTCCTTCCTCCCGCCCTCCCTTCCTTTCCTTCCTTCCTTCAAAGTTGAAATTACACTACTATCTCTAATTCCAACTCATAGTCATAGGGTTCACTCTAGCTTTTGCCCTTTCTATAGAGGTAACACTTTTCTCTAAAAGTCAAAAACGTGGCTCTCATTATCTTCAACATGCATTCGATGATTCACCTTCTATGTAACCAATATCTCAATCTGCCGACCACTTTAACCTGAGGTTCTAATTGCCTCCTTGTTCCTGGTGCCCTCCCTGAAGGCTTCACTGGCCTTGGTCCTAACTATTTATTTTCTCTGCTCCATAGGCCCTGGTAGTCTGGCTGCATCGTTGAGCTGGGGTCCACCAGCCCAAGCCAAGGTCCTTGACCCTGAGTACCTCTGCAGCTAGGATCCCACAGGTCTTGCTGTTTCTTATCACCTTGAAGGCAGGGACGGGAGAAACAGATGAAGCATAGAATGGAAAAAACAGAATTTTTTTTTTTTTTTTTAAGAAAAGGAACACAAAGGAAGAGAAGAGTAAAAAAGAAGAACTAGGTCCATACCTTCTAAAACAGACATATATTTACCAAACTTTAAGAAAATGCTTTCATATACTTTTCAGGTTAACAAGGCAGTGACTTGAGGTGGGAGTCGAACACATATCTCTGTATGTTTATTGCTCAAAGTTGAAAATGCGCTTTTTATTAGTGTCCCCACTTCCTGTATCTGTATGTTTGAATGCGTGCATATGTTCCGGAGTTAAGAAGCTCTACCATGCAGGCAGGGTCGGCAAAAATGACCTTTTTTGGAGTGAGCATGAAGTCATTCATTTTGTTGCATACTTTAATATGGGTAGTTGGATACGGAAAAATTCTCTCATTTGCCAATTGTTAGAAATAAAGATGAGAGATATTTAGATGCATGGGAGGCAAGGTGTTTTCTAGTCTTTCCCTGGAAAGGGACAATGACATAGAAGCCTGCTTCTCCATGACATAAATAAACATTCTTACCTCCAAGACGATGTGGATCTAGCAGAGCAGAAGGCCACGTTGGGATCAAGCAAAGGCCAGGTTGGGTTCAGAAGGCCAGGTTGGGATCAAGCAAAGATGTACTACTTCTTCGGACCCAGGATACAGCTATCTTAAGGATCAGTGTTCCACATTTTGAGAGCTTGACCATTTTTGTGACGTTTATATCTTCTGTATTTTTTTCTTTCTCTTCTATCACAATATTTAGTGTTGTTATTTTTATCAAATGTCAGCCTTTTGGCCAAATTTAGGCTATAGTTTTAAAGCATTAGTGGCTCAACATTTGGGGGAAAGTTATCATGGCAAGAGCAGTAAATAAAGTAGGGAAGAAGCTCTGTCCCACCTTTTTTAGCTGGCCCATTGGGTCACAGGCTAGACTTTTCCTAAGGCTGGTTCAGAAGGCTGTGGCTCCTGTACTGACTTCCTGTGTTATCTCAGCAATTGCACTGCAACTGCTGATTTCCTTCTCTCTTTCTGTTTAGATTGTGGGTAGGTGACATCTCTGCTTTGGTCACCACCACAACAGTGTTTGGCACATGTGCACCTGTTTACTGAGTAAATGAACACTCAGATGAAGGTATCAAATGGTAAAACGCAGGGAAAGAGTGACAAGTCTCATGTGAAGAGTCGCTCCCTGCAGCAATGATCTGTTCATACCTTGATTGGATTGACTTTCTTTTAAAAAGAGTCCATCTCTTGACACTGGCAGTGGTGTCACTCTAGATATGAAACACTTTGTCAAGGGAGCCTGCTGATACTGCTATATCCTACGTGTGACCTCTCCTCTGCTGGTCAGAGAGCAGTGCACCCCCATGTCACTCCAGTGCTGTGATAAGCATCCGTCTGTTTGCAAAGTACAGATTTAAATCTCATAAATCCTGGAGTTCTGCCAGAAGTGCCTGGCTGTCTCCAAATACATATAGTTCAGGAAAAAGTACTATAGATTTCAAAGATACCGTCTCAAGCCACATCATTCTTGGAACAATATGACTCATAAAGTACATGTGCATTCTTTAACTAACTATAGATTCGTGTCCTGAATCTATAATGACACGAATCAGAGAGAGGAAATCATAAATACAATTTTAAAATTAATTCAATGGGTGTTTTCAGCAACACAGACACATGAAAATATCATTTGTGCCTGTCAGGATTCTGCTAATTGGGAACAGCTCTTGAGCATTGAGCCTTAGAAACCTTCTTTCCTCATCCTCTCTTCTGATCACTTTTGATTATTTCATATCATTTTCTCCTTTTCTACCCTAGCCCCCCAAGTACTGCAAACACAGGACCTGGGAAGTTTGGAAGTCTAGGGCTAATGGCTTTAAAACAAATACAGCAGTTTCTTACTCTAACACATTCACAACACATTTGAGAAAGACCACACATTTACAGAGTGTTCAGAATTATTACCTTCCTTTCACCGCTTCTGGCAAGCTACCCCTTGGGCGGTGTCATCCTAATCCAGTGCATCTGTCAGGCCTGCCTTGCCATTGTCCAAGGTGTAGTTGGAGCCCTAATTCTATTTTAAGGAATGATCTCTCCTCAGTGTTACTTCTTGAATACAGGTGTCTGCAGAAATAAAATCTAAAGGTCTACTAATTAGAGGTATGAACCAGGTAACTTTTGTCATGGAAACCGTTCCAGGCTGTTCCTTTCCTGAAATATGCACTTTCCATGGCTTCTGTGACCTACTTTGTCTGGTTTCCCCTAATCTGCTCTCCTGCCTGCTGTGTGGACTTCTCTCTCTCCTCCTGAGTTCCTTAGAAATGTGGCCTGAGTCCTCATCCAGTCTCACTCTGACACCTTTCACCGATGGATCTTCCCTGCTTTCTTTCTTTCTTTTTTGAGTGGGAGTTTCACACTGTTGCCCAGCCTGGGGGACAGTGGCACACTCACAGCCACCACAGCCTTAACCTGCTGGACTCAGGTGATCCTTCTGCCTCAGCCTTCCAAGTAGCTGGAACCACGGGCATGGGCCCTCAGGACCAGCTAATTTGTTGATTTACTGTAGAGGTGGTGGTCTCACCAAGTTCCCCAGGCCGGTCTTGCACCCCTAGACACAGGCAATCTTCTCGCCTCTGCCTCCCAATGTGCTGGGATTATAGGC